GGCCCGGACTGCACCTGGCGTCTGCGAGGCCCTCGGCAGGGGGCCCTTCATTCCTCAAACGTCAAAGACTCGCCGTCCGCGCGGAAGTGACGTGCGAACGGAGAGCAGCGGCTCCTCCCCGTCAGCGGCCGCCCCACGACGAGCACTCGGGCCTGGCGAGACCGTCCCGGGGACCCAGCGAGTCCGACTCGAGCGCAGCCGCCGCCCGGACAGGACGGCCCCGGCCGCCAGGCGGCGCCCCGCGCGCACCGGACTTCGGCGTCCGCCTACGCGCATGCGCGGCCCTACTCGCTAGCGGATTCAAGTGACCCGGATGCTGGGGGTCACGGTCACCAGCCCCTCTGGGTGCCTCAGCGACGCTGACACTTCCTGCCGGCTCTCACCTCAGGCTTTGCGTGTCCTTCTTCCAGGACGCCCCAAGACCGCGGGCCGCCAGCGGCCCCAGGTCTCAGCCTGCGGGATCCGCGGCTTCCGCTTCCGGAGAGTATGGTGCGTGGCGGAGCGGGAGCGGGGAGCGGGGCCTGCGCTCCTGGGGCTGCGCGGCCGCACTGCCGGAGGCCGAAACCGCGCGGGAGGTGTCATTCCGCGGCAGCGCCCGCCACCCACGCCTGTCCCGGCCGGCGGGCTCCGCCTGCCGGGTCCCAGCCGCCCGAGACCGCGTCGCCCATTACCACGGACCAGCAAAGTCCATCTGAGATCAGGACACTTGGTGGAACTGGGTCGAGTGAGGCGTCGGATCTACATTCTTTAAGCACGGGTATTGTCGACAGGTGGAAGAACACCGAATTTTTGTTCATTTATAGCAAGCGATTTCCATCACAAGAATGTTATGGGGGAAAATGAAAGAAAAAAAAACCACCCCAAGAATTTTATGATATAACATCCTAAAGGAAATCTAAAATGTATAGGGTCTTAAAATTTTTAGATTATATTTTTATTCCAGGAAGGAACTTAAGAGAGCTGGAGAAACCACTGAACCAAATCGAGGAAATTGTCTGTAGGGGAAAAAAACAAACACCGACATCCAGTCATGTGGACCCTATGGGACAAGGTAGAACTGCTTGTGTGAGTCTTCAAGATTGTAACTCTACAGGACTAGAAAGCCCCCATCACTTCTCAGCCTTTTGGCTATCAAGTATAGGAGTAGAAAGCCCTGTCTTTCACCCGTGGACCAGCTGGTGGTTTCAAAATGCTGCACCTGCACATCACAGCCCGATGTAATGACTACACCACCAAGGTGCCAGGCTTTCTTTGACATTGAGTTGTAATCCAAACTGAAGGCTGTAGTCCTTGGTCTTCCTCAACAAGTGTTTCAAGTGCTTTTAGCAAGCAAAGTTGTAGCATCTTCATATTACAAGCAGCTATGAAGCCTACCTCCAGTCTTGATACTGCATTCTTCTTCATGTAATCCGGAAATTCTGATTATTTGCTCAGCATACAGATTGAATAACTATGGTGAGAGGGTACGACCCTAGCAAACACCTTTATTTTTTAATCATTTTATTGGGGGCTCATACAGCTCTTAATCACAATACATATATGCATCCTTTGTGTCAAGCACATCTGTACATTTGTTGCCATCATTTTCAAAGCATTTTCTTTCTACTTGAGCCCTTGGTATCAGTTCATTATTTCCCCTGCCTCCACCACCCTCCCTCCCTCCCGAACCCTTGATAATTTCTAAATTATTTTCTCATGTCTTACACTGACCAGTGTCTCCCTTCACTCACTTTTCTGTTGTCTGTCCCCCTGGTGGGGGGTTATAATGTAGATCATTGTGATCAGTTCCCAACTTTATTTTAAACCATGCAGTATTCCATTGTTGTTTTTTTAATCATTTTATGGGGAGCTCTTACAACTCTTATCACGATCCATACTTAATCCATTGTGTCAAGCACATTTGTACATTTCTTGCTATCATCATTCTCAAAACATTTGCTTTATACTTGAACCCTTGGTATCAGCTCCTCCTTTTTCCCCCTCC